ACTACTGCCCTAGGTCAAGCGCATGATACTGCAACGGGAAATGATAATATTCATTATCAGTTCCTGAAGCATTTGCCTAATTCATGCTTAGAGATGCTCCTTAATATATTTGATCAGATCTGGACATCAGGAAATTTTCAACCTTCGTGGCGTAATGCAATAGTTGTTCCCATACCTAAACCTAGTAGGGACCATATTGATGCATCCAATTATCGACTAATATCACTAACCAGCTGTGTGTGCAAAACCATGGAGCAAATGGTAAACAATGGACTGGTGTGGTACTTGGAAACTAACAATCATATAAGTAACATTCAATGTGGTTTCCGTCAAAATAGAAGTACTATTGACCATCTGGTACATTTAGCGTTAGTGAGTTGGGTTTTTAATGGTACATTTAGAATCTTTTGTCAAAAATGCAATTGTCAATAATCAGCATGCAGTATCAATCTTTTTCTTTCAGTTTATATCCCAATTTTTAACAGACCGACAATTTCAGGTTCGTGTGGGTTCCACCCTGTCTGACCATTATAATCAGGATCAGGGTGTCCCACGAGGCAGTATTTTGTCTGTAACTCTGTTTAGTATAAAGATTGATAGCCTGTCAAAGGTTTTATATGATCACATTGATGGTTCCCTTTTTGTGGACGATTTTAATATTCATGTTGTGGCAAAAATATGCATACCATCAAGAGACAGTTGCAGCTGTCTCAACATAATCCAAAAATGGTGTCTCGAAAATGGTTTTAAGTTTTCCAAAGCTAAGACCAATTGAATTCATTTTTGTACAAAATACAAGCATCATAAAGACCCAGAGCTATACTTACATGGCACTCCTATCAAGCTTGTAGAAGAGGCCAAGTTCCTGGGTCTCATTTTCGATCATCATTTGACTTTTAAACCACATATTAACTATCTCAAAACTAAATGCCTGAAGGCTATAGATTTGTTGAAAGTTGTTGCAAATACAAAGTGGGGAGGTGATCAGACAACCCTCCTCCACTTCTATAGGTCTCTGATCCACTCTAAATTAGATTATGGCTCCATCGTTTATGGTGGAGCCTGTAAGAGCAATTTACAAAAGTTAGATTTGATTCTCCATCAGGGCCTATGACTCTGTCTTGGTGCATTTCGAACATCTGTTGTTGTTGTTGTTGCATTAGGTGTTTAAGAGGTCGCCTTCTGCCTAGGCAATTTCGGCTGACCTGTCCCTCTTTGGGACTCCTGTGTGTGAGAAGGGTTCACATATCTATTGTGAGTTCGGTGTTCACATAATTTCTGTTTTTGCATTGATATGATTTCTATTTTCATATATTGATATGATTTCATTTTTATCCTTGGCTGCTCTGTTTATATACGTTCGAGCAGCTGTCCATCTCTCAGAAATAGAGTTAGTTTGGCCTTCGCTATTGCATCTCTTGGCTTTAGGAGATTTATTACAGATAGCGGATCTAACTGCAATTCTTGTTTTAACCTAGCCCGGGCTGGGGCATGGTCTTGACATTCTAGTAACACATGGTCATTGGTTTCAGCCTGATTGCAAGATGAACAAACCTTGACATAGTGCTTTTTGTGACCGAGTCTGAGGCGTGAGATAGCAATTTCAATTTTCCTTTCATTTGAGTATGAGTTTGGCTTTTGTTGGACCTTGGGTTGAATTTTGTATAGCCATCTGCCGATCTTACTTGCGTCCCATTGACATCGAACATCTTCTGTGGACAGCCTATTTGTAGAAGCTGATGAACCTCCATTGAAGCAACGCCATATCAAATTATCGCTACAATACATTACTGAATTACATTCTAACCCATTAAACCCTGCATACAACTGTGTTTTGTAACCCCTTTACAAACACCTTTTTCACAGTAAGCCTAAGCTGGTTCTACCACTAGGCATTCGGATTAAACCCCACATTACAGCTGCAAATATTGAGTTGGATAATATTGCCACATTCAGGCTTTTGTCTTCTCCTCCTTGGCAACTTGTCAGACTGAAAGTAGACTTTACTCTTACCCATTTAAAAAAATCAGACACAAATCAATTAATATATCAACAAGAATATATACAAGTTAGAAATAAATATGAATCCCACCGTTCCATTATTACAGATGGATCCAAGGATGGCAGCATAGTCTCTAGTGCTGCCGTCATTGGATCAACAGTTATCATCCCGATTACCAGACCTTAGCTCAATGTATACTGCTGAAGCCAAAGCAATATTAACTGCTTTGGAATATATCTAAAAACAGTCCCGCTGTAAACAGTTCATCATCTTTTCAGATTCATTTTCGTGTCTACAGGCAATAAAATCTAGCTCTTCAAGTCATTTCAGATTTTTAAGAACTGTACAATGACCTTGCCACTGGCTAATATGACATCGTCTTTTGCTGGTTGCCCAGTCATGTTGGAATCACGGGTAACACTGTGGCTGATGCTGCAGCAAAAGCAGCTCTCAACAAATCTGTGACACTATACTATACAGCAACAAACCTATAATTAGATGCTATATCAAAGACCTTATGCAAAAGAAGTGGGACACCCAAGTAGGTACTAATAAATTACATGCAATAAAACCAACTATCGGTTACACCTACTTGGGTTGACAGTCAAGATTTGAAGAGGTCATTATGCGACGATGTCATATTGGCCATTCACGTTTTACACATGAGTATTTATTAAAAGGTGAAGATCCTCCATTCTGTGTCTCTTGTGATGAGAGAATCACAGTCAAGCATGTTCTGTTTGACTGTATTGATTTTTCCATCACAAGGGATAATTATTTCCAGGTTTCATCAATCAAGGATCTTTTTAATCAGGTAAGTACTCATTAAATTCTTGTTTTTTTAAAAGAAATTGAACTTATTGATAAATTTTGAATTGTGTAAATAGGTATATTTTATATTGGTAATGTATAATTTGTAACTAAGATTGTTAGTGGCTCTATCCTCAAAGAGGGTTGAAGTAGCGTAAAATTATTGTCCACCTGAGAGGATATATAAGACCACATCATTCAAAGTACATTTATTCTTACCTCAGTTTTAAACGTAGTATAATTGTTTATAAAAGTTGGCTTAATTGTGTACCATCACCAGCAGCTGAAGGGATGGTGTAAATCCTGATGGGGAACTGTGCAGGTAGCAGAAGTATTGTAAGTCCCCACGGTCCCCAGTAAGGTGGCCGAACTTTGGTTGTGGTGATCTATAGCCCACTTTTATATTGTATTGTTGATTGAAAATGTATTCTTTTAAATGTTCTCAACTAGTTTTAAAATTGAAACTGTGATACTCCAGTTATTTTACTTTCCTTCGCTGACAGGTATTTATTCCATTTAAATCTATGTATTATGTGTCAGTTTTACATGTGTTTTCTGGTCTGTTCCACTTTAAAGAAAGGTAAACAGGTAACTGTTGCTCGATTTACCAACCTTGACTAATCCTGGTATAAGCTGTCTGACAAATGGGATGTCAATGGAAGGCTACCCTTTGTCCCATTTCATGTACTCAACTAAACACCTGTGCATTTAAAATGCCATTCAAAACGTGTGATAGCATTACACAAAATGTTATATTACAATGTGAGACTAATTATTATTTTCTATAACTTTTTTTCCTGTGACTTTTCTTCCTGCAATCTAACGATTCACTCAAGCGACATTGTGCCACCCACTACAATGACAATGGTGACATGCATCTGTTCTGCAGCCTGGCATTCTTGCCTATTCACTTTCAAAAGCATCATGCCAGAGGATCAAGGACCTATGTCAATGGGTCTTCCAGACAGTGCAAAGGCACTGGTCTCATGATGAGCATGCAATGTGTTCCACCCATGCGGAATGTCAACAGGGAAACCCTTGCCGATGATATTTATGTATGTAACACGGTGTATTAAAAAAATGCCATGAATAATTTGAGTCTGTAAATGTTTTCTTCAAATTGATCCCTCTGGCTGAACATTTCATGGTGACATCAAACCAAACCTGCCTGGCACTCAACATTAAGGGGCTAAAGCATATTTCTTTCTGAGTGAGTTAATGCTAAGCTCCTAGCAAGCACTTCCTTCTAAGAAATTCATTACTATCCCTTCTTTGCCTAATTATAAAGGTCATGTGTTTAACCTGTTTGACTTCCTGCACAACTTTCATGAATTATCATGCATTTTTCATGAGCGCTGGTAACCAGTGCTTTTAGGTCTTAAATACATTCTTCTGGTGTCTGATTCACAGTCAGATGCCCTGCCCTATTGTCCAATGGAAAAAATATGTAAACATGAAATGAAAGATTGTCATATCACACAAAACATATTTTTTATATCAATTCCACCTGTATATTCTTCACAAATGATGTTGCAAAGATAATTTTTAATTGACTTAAATCAGTGTTCGAAATACCTGCCTGCCCGACCGTCCGAGACGGGTTGATTTCAACTCGGGCTGCCAGATTTTCAAATCCCCCTGCCCGACGGTCGGTTTATATTTCATATGTGATGATAAGCATTAATTCACATGTAAAGATAAATGATAAAATGTAACCAAAAAGAAACCCCGTTAACTTTTAGACAACCTAAAATTTAGCGATGCGCTTATGCTACAACGTCTACATACACGATATCGTGCAAATAGTGGACCAATGCCGTGCAATATACACGACTGGAAAACTCCCTTCTCCGCCGTGAGACGCGAACGCTGATTGGTCTATTAGTTTCCTACACAACAAACCTGGTTCCCGGTCTCAGTTCCGCTACGCTACATTGTATATTGCTCCCCAAAATGTTAACTCTACACCATAGTGCGTGTATCGTTTCTCAAAAGATATATCAAATATCGATTTAAATTCGATTGAAAGTTTTAATTAAATTATCCTGAGAAACATATGATAATAGTGGGCAGGCAGGTTTTGGTCAGGGCTGGCAAGTATTTCAGCTAGCCAGTCCTGTGGTCTGGCTGAATTTTTTGGGAGTTTCATACCCTGCTTAAATATAAAGGGAAGGAGGGAAGCACTTACCGAACAGACTGTGGCATAGTCACTGAAGACGATTCACTCATGGAGCTGTTCAAGAGGTCACTGTACAGTAAGTTCTCGATGCACTGAAATGAAAAACATTTTACAAGCATGCAAACCACGATTTACTTATTCAACCAATGAGAGAATTGTAAATTTTACAATAAATTATATATTTAAACACTTATCCAATCTCACACTATGCATTTCTCATTCTTCTTTCGATCCTAAGGGGAAACATGCCTAAACAAAGTTTTCCAGGTTCTAAGCTCATTCTCTTTCTTGAGTTTAATAACATTAAGCTAAAAGAATTGTGATGCGGGGATTGATGGGTATATGGGAAAAGTATAGAAATTTATGATTTCTTGTAACATTCATGAATTTTAAAACTTATCCTATTTTAACACTATGCATTTATCACGAATCTCTAGCCAAAACGGCAACAATCAGATATACATGAGGGAGCTGGAGCTAAACAGTGATACAGAACAATATTTGATAACACTGTCTAGTGTCATAAGACAAAATATATGAATACGGAGAGCACTCCAAAAAATTGTTGTGAAACTGACATGTGAACAAATGAAATCGGGACAATATGTGAAACGTGTTAATAATGTACAAGAAACAATGTATGACTCATATTCAATTTGGAAATGGACTCAAGCCAATCGAAACTACAAGACATGAGTAGCACTATCTCTCATGGTTGAGAGGACAACCAAGCTTGGCATCTCTTTTAACATGTTGTCCAAACCATCAATCACACCTCAGGGACTGAAACGATAGGTTAGTTTGAGAAGAAAACGATCAACAATATCCATAAAGGAATCGTCAAACCAATACCCAACAACAGCAGAAAGCAGAGGTAAGTGGAATAGATGATTAGACCACCTGAATCCGGCCTCCACTCATAATGAAGACTAAAGCCTCTACAGACGAGTGAATGCATCCTCCAATCTCATACTCAGTCTTGGAGAACCTGAAAAAGTATAACAAATATAGAGAGAGATGTAGTAAAGGGATTTGGATTGGGTACATGTCTCACCCTATCTGTTCACATGTGTCTTAGAGATTTGCTGTACAAGAACCACTGGCCCAAATTGATGCACACCTTGGACGTCAGTCACAGAGATGTCTCAGAGGTAGTGGGATGTGAAAACTGTATCAGATTTCCAGAAACATCCTTCCATAATTGCAGCCAAAGTGCAATTACTGTGAAAAGCCATAGTAGAGGCGACAAGTTTCATGAGGGTTGGAAGTGACCGGAGCAGGCAGGTCAGCATAAGGATAAGCGCGGAGAATAACTGATTGAATCCAAAACCATAGAGACCTTTTCGTTCATTGTAGTCGCAATGTTGGAATTATCGCCGCAAGATGCATAGCTAAGAACCCTCAAGCCTACGACTGGAGATGATGAAGGTATTCAGCAATTTGCTGTGGAGAAGCAGTAGCGAGTCTAGAAATATCACACGTGTGACAGTAGGCCTCAATGGCCTTCACTTATGGTCACACAAGGACTTGGTTGATGACCTATGAGCCATTGGCAACAAGGGATATCTGCAAATGCGCCAGACAAACATATTGAGGGTTTCAGGTGATGAGTGGAGCACCCAGGAGTGAGTTTGAAGAAGAAGGTTGACCCTGAGTAGTAGACGATGAAATTTTTTGTCTGCGAGTTGGATGTGTATTGTGAACCAACTCTGAGTTGGCCAATAGAGAGCGAAAAAAAGCATTGGAAGGTGACTGTGGATTTTATCTACTGCAGGACCTGAGGTAGAACACCAGTCGGAGCAAAGGCATATGCGTGTAAGCCCTCTCACAAGATTGTTAATGCCCCTTGGACCCAAGACTGAGGATCAAGGATGGGAGATATGAACCGGGATAGCTGAGTGTTAAAGTGGGTTGCGAAAAGATCAAAGTCGGGACATAGAAATAACTTGCAAATCAACTGGAAGCTCATTGGATGAAGGTGCCATTCCAGACATTTTTTTCGGGTCAGGACAGAGAGTCGGAAATGACATTGGAGACGCCAAATAGGTTGTCGGACTGGATCATCAGACTGGAGGCTCGAAGAAGTGATGCCCAATGTGACACTGCCAAGATCCCTGCTTTGAACTCTCACCCCACCACCACCCAGCCATTTGTAGTTCATGACAATGAGCTCCCCAACCAACAATCGAGACATCAACGAAAAGATGTAGAGTCGAGATGAACGGCAGCAAGGAGATTCCTTCACAGATGTTCGACGGTACCAGCCACCATTGGAGATGTGTTCGTAGGTGATTTGGCAGCGAAAATTAGCACCTGACAATCGTCGTTCTGAAGGTTGGGCTTGAGAAATTGAATTTGTGGCAGGTGGAGTTGTCCTCTTCTGGTGATAACTAATGCTGACGTCAGGAAACTGAGAAGTTGTTGCCACTGATGCAAAGAGAGTGACTGTCTGAATGCCTGGGGCACAAACATCTTGCCAAGGAACATGGCAAACAGTGCCTTGATAGACTGAAGACGTTGAGAGGGAATGGTTTCATATTTTTACAGTTGACCAGCCAGCCGAGTTGATGAATAGGCTGCTGCATGAAGTTTGGATGAAGGAGAAGACTGCCTGGATCTTAGGCCTGAAAGCAGTCGACAATGTATGATTCAAAAACGATGCCTCGACTGTAGGAATTTGATGATGGGCTTGATAATGGGAGTAAAGGAGCCATGAGACCTAGGAAATTCCAAATGGGAGTAGCTTCCATTGGTTGTGGCAACTGAGGAAAATGAACGAGAGGAAGCCACAGTGCTAATTTTCGGTCTATTAGGTAGGAGTTGACAGTAATGCTATTTATAAAGTGATCGTCCCATGAGCAGCGTTGAAGGACACCATGTCCTCTTAGGGTAATAATTGACCCTGCATTAAGAGCAAAAAGATCCATAACCTTGTCCTGGTTAGGATCGACAGGAAGATGCATGATCCAAAACTGAAGTAAGAGCCTCCATCACCGACAGAATAGTGGAGAATCAGGGAAGTGTTTGGTGAATAGATGTGTGTAGATATTTATATCATCCACCATATAGCAAGACACTGAACGTTTGAGTGCCAAAAGTCACTGTCCAGTTCAAGAGCAGAAGTCGAAAGACCATGAGTGCCTGCATCAGCCAACACAAAGCGAGGGTAACTGTAATTGACTGCATCAGCAAAAGGACCCAAAGGTCCTATCTGCTTAAAACTGTCTGGGAGGGAGCGCAATATTTGTTGAAGTTGCAGAGAGGACAACAAAAGATGATAAGGTATCTCCAGTGGAAGTACTCTTGAGAAGCTGGAGTTGATCCACAATCCAAATAAAGAGGTAACCTAATCCGCAGTGTCAAAACTGCCTGAGGAAGAAACAGGGGAGGCATGATGATCAACTAAATCCTCCTCTGGCAACGAATCCACAGGAGAATAGGGTGTAACTGCCTGAAGAAAAACCGGAACGGAAGTTACTGAATCTGTAGGAGGTCTCGACTGAGAGAAGCACGCTAACGTCACAGCTTGTAAGCAGGACTGAAGTTGCTGCCCCGAGATGGAGGTTAAATCAATAGGATTCCGCAAAGTAGGAAGTATCACTGGAGGATCTGGTGGAGTAGGATAGTAGCCCGGTCAAGCACAGTAATCAGGGTAAGCAGTGTCATAGGAGTACCTGCACCATGAGGATCCTCATGAAAGGAGTCCCGAGGATGAGACCCTCACGAGTCTTGATCGACAGAGGGGTCCGACGAATCTGAACGGCAATCCTGTGATGACCGATCCCCAGGAGAATAACCTTTAATACATGTATGTCAAACAGGGGATCTGGAACGATGAGACATAGACAGGGAGCAACCAGCTGCCGAGGTAAAGTGAGTGAGTGAGTATGGTTTTACGCCGCTTTTAGCAATATTCCAGCAATATGGGCTTCACACATTGTACCCATGTCGGGAATCGAACCTGGGTCTTCGGCGTGACGAGCGAAAGCTTTAACCACTAGGCTACCCGACCGACCCTGCTGAGGTAGAGAAAACTGTAGTTGGAGCAACTGTAAAGGATTCAATTGAAGACACATTCGTAGGGATGCGGGTGGATTGTTTTTCAGAAGCTGGAAACCTTTGTTTAGGCACATTTCCACCAAGGATGGTAAGAAAAATGAAAACTCCATAGTGCGAGATAGGATAAGTTTGAAAATTTAGATTTGCAGTTATTCAGCATGTGGTACCTACCTGGCTAATATCACTACACCATGCAGATTTCTCATGCAGCGTAGAGGCCACTAAGGACACAGTGGTCGGAGGGCCACTTTTTGAGTCCACGATGAGGCGGAAGTCTAGACCATTGTAATCCACTGCCCTGCTTTGTTCCCAGCTAGGTGGAGGTGCTGGCAGCAAATTTGAGACCGACGACTGACTGCCAAGGCTGAGATTGGAATCCAAGGAAGAGGCTAAAATAAACAACATCCCTGTCAGATCTACTTATTTCTAGTCAAGCATAAAATCATCGCACCAACATTGTACAGATAAATTGACCACATATCTAAAATAATATCATTCAAAGTAAACACCTCGTCAGCAGAGCTATATACTGGAATTTGTGCTCAAGCGGTCTAGCAAGTAGTACTTGTGTGAGAGTAAATATGTTACCCCTGAACATTGGTTCTGTTGGAATCGATATAGGAGTATTGTTCCATTGAATTTTTTTCCCAAGGTATATTGTTCCACAGGAACAAGACTCCTGGTTTATCTATTCCAACAAAACAAAAGTGCAGTGGGAACATAACCTTTTAGTGCCTCACAGTCAGCTTCAATGTATACTCCCTTGGAATCTGAAAATTATGGTTAAGGGCACGCTGAGCCAATGACAGGGGTAATAATAGTGTAGAGCTTTGAGCATGCCCATTGCTGAGGATATAGGGCAATATAAATAGGCCTATTATTATTATTAAAATAAATAGATATATATGCCGACTTATCTTAAATTCAACATAAAAATACTGCTGCTGAGTGTTTAAATTGTGGTTAGAACCTGGTGGGTTATTTTCTTGCTCGTTCCATACCCAATCATAATTGTGCAACAAAGTTGGATGTCGAAACTAGCATGACTTTGCTGCATATCTCCGTAATATTTCAAGTATATATATGACACACTTGTAGATTAAAAATAAATAAATCAATAAATACCTGTAAAAACACTGACCAGTGAGCACTATATCAGCAATATATAATGAACCACAAAAGAAACGTCACCACGGAAAGATATATGAGAAACCCTATCTGTCCAAACACTGTAAACATACTTCAAGACATATTAAAAAGATGAAACTTGGCAAAACTGATCAAGGTTGAAATAAAAGTGTCAAATGTTCTTAAAGTGAAACACAACACTAGCCTCTGAGAAAATGGCATCACAAGTCAGTATATCGTGTGTCCGCCATGTGCATTGATGACTGCTGTGCAACGTCGATACATGGAATGGATGAGGGGGTTGATGAAGGCCATAGTCACTTGAGCCCAAACTCTGAGGAATGCCTGACGCAGTTCAGCTACAGTTGTCAGCCTTGGTCTGACGTCATTCAGCTGTCTTTGAATCTCGTCCCACAGGTGCTCAATGGGATTTAAATCGGGACCGAGGGCAGGCCACTGCATGGTTCTGATGCCATTCTGCTGGAGGAAGTCTCTTGTTGCTCTTGCGGTGTGGGCACAGACTGAAACTTGTGGTTGCGTCGACGTGCCAAATGAGGTATGGCGTGTGGTCTCAAGACTTGATCAATGTACCGAGCTGCTGTGACACCATTGCCTCTCCCTGGACCGATGTTCTGAAAGATCACAGTTCCGACCCTCTGTGCAAGACCAATTCCACCCCACACCATGATGCTCGGACCACCCCACGAGTCTAACTCAACAACACAAGCATCCGAATAATGTTCCCCAGACTCTCTCTCTGCCATCTGCTGTTGAGATACAGTAACGTCTCTCGTCTGAGAAGACGACTCTTCTCCACTGCTGGTGCTGTGTTGCCCACTGAAGACGGTCCCAGCAATGACGCAGTATCAGAATGGGTCCTCAGTGTGGCCTGTGACAGTGGAGGTGTCTGCTTGCCAGTCGTTGATGCACAGTGTCCGCACTAATATGTTGCTGGTGTGTCCCCATGGTCTGTCGATGAGTTTCCGCAGCAGTAACAAGCTATCCAGAAGATGGACTTACGAGGTGATATCAAAAAGTTTTGAGCCTAACACAGAAAAAGTAAAAGAATTGGATTGTTACTACTTTATTTTTCAACATAGTTTGCCAGTCACTGATGCCCGATCGGTAGAAGTCAACATTCTGGTCCCCTAACCAACCCTCCACAGCAGCAGTTAGCTCATCGTCATCTTCAAATCTCCAGACCCGGAGGTGTTTTAACTGCCTGGGAAAGAGGTGGAAGTCACTGGGGGCTAGGTCTGGGGAATAGGGTGGGTGAGGGAGAAGTTCATAGCCACATTCTTGCGCAGCTGTCATTGCAACACGGCCTCGTGTGGACTGGTGCGTTGTCCTGGTAAAGCAGAATCCCACGACAGATTTTTCTACGGCGTTTCACCTTGATGGATTGGCGCACCCATTCATTGTGGTGCCATGGGACAGGTAGTCGATGTGAATCACTCCTTTGCTGTCCCAGAAGATGGTCATCATAACCTTCTTGGTGGATCTGGTGGCCTTGAACTTCTTTGTCTTGGAGAAGTGGCGTGTTTCCATTCCATTGACTCCTGTTGACTATCTGGGTTGGCGTTGTACCGAGTTAGCAAGGCTCCACTGATGGTGACCCTTGATAGCTTCATGTCATCTGTAAGCATTCTCGGGATCCATCTGGCACACACTTTGGACTTGTGGAGTTTGCCATGAATTATATTATGTATGGATCAATATGATAGGCCTGTTGTTTCTTCTAGCTCATGGAGAGTAATACGGTGGTTTTCCATCACTAGTTTGTGTACAGTGTCAATGTTTTCAGGGCTGGTACTGGTTGATGGCAGTCTGGACCGGGCATCATCTTCTAAGCTCTCTCTGCAACGCTGAAATTCCTTCACCTACCGTTTGATAGTTGCAGACGATGGGGAAGACTCTCCATAAACTGCAGTCAATCGCTCTTCCACCTGTTTGGCAGATTGACCCTCTAGGACAAGGAACTTTATCACTGCTCTGTACTCAGATTTGTCCATTTTGCCAATTCACAAGGGGTAGGTCTCTTCCACGAAGTGTTGTGACAAAATAATTGCAGCCAGCAAAATGTTTCTACATAGCATCAGTAGCTAAGACATTCATGTACATCATGTGTAGCGCATTGTACCATTCGACCAGGAATACTGTGTGAGGCTCAAAACGTTTTGATATCCCCTCTTACGTGGACTTGAAATGCATTGGCTACTTGCCGGGAGGTTTGTCGCTGATTTCTTGTCAATCTTGGCATGTGGTAGCAATTCAATAACGAATGAATGTTATCCGATATGGGTGGATTTTTATAGGGCAAGAAATGGGGGAACATATGTGCATTTCAATTTGCATGGAACTTACATGCATCAGGTTACCATGTCCATTGCCGTGATGCGTTGGGGCAATCGGTTATATTGTCATCTGCTTTGTTTTTTTATCTTCAAATTTCTTTTTTCCGGACAAGTTAATGTCAAATTTTAGAAACTTTGACAAAAATTACTCAGATATATAAAGACAACTTTTCATGCAATGTTACTTGGGGTAATGTTTCTTTTGCCGTTCAGTATAGTTTAAAATATAAGGCAATCTAACGACCATAACTGCCAATATGTATTTCAGACGATGCTGTTCAAGAATCATAGAAAATTTCACCAGTACTATAAAATTGGCATTTGTCTGGAGTAGTACATGAACCAACCCCCACCACACAAACACACACACACACACACACACACACACACTCATACCACACATTCAATTCATTTTTTCAAGTCAAAACTAAAAATATATTTAAAAGCAATGTCTCATAAATTCTCTGTACTCGCTTTTCTTCAAGATGAAGGACTTTTTATGTGCTTGATACGGATGCTAGTGGGTCCGGTATAGGTACCGCATTATCTAAATTGCAGCAAGGAAATGAAAAAGTTCTTTCGTATGCAAGTTGTACTTTGGAACAGTCACAATGCAACTATTGCACAACCAAACATGAGCTTCTGCCAGTGGTAACTTTCCTTAAGCACTTTAGACACATTCTATATGGCAGAAAGTTTGTTTTGCGCACTGACCATGCCCCTTTTATTTGGCTGCAAAACTTCAAAGATCAAGGAATATTATCAAGGTGGCTTTGTGTTGTTGAAACCTATGATTTTGAGATCCAATATAGGCCTGGTTGAAAGCATCAGATGTGATGTCACAAAGATCTCAGCGGAAATCGAACAATAGTTATCATTGTTAATAATTCTAAGAATACTACCTCTATTACATATTTGCCATAAATCCTGTATTTTGGCTTCAGTCACACCAAATAAAATTTTCAGCTTTTCAACAGACGTCCTCTTCACTGTCAATCACACAATTAGTTGTTCCCCATATAGCACAATAGCAAACCAAGCTATGACGTGCATAATGGTGGGAATCTCACTTCTTTTCGCACATCTAACTACTAGAGGTAGGTGAATTGGGGAGCTGGATGGGAGAACTTCTGATGTAATAGAGGTAGTATTCTTAGAATTATTAACAATGATAACTATTGTTTGATAATTCTTATGAAACTTCTACCTCTATTACATCTTTGCCAGAGGGAACCGGTGGGATCTGCCTCTAGTAACTTCCTGTGTAATTGACGGTAATCTCTTCTGGAAACCATTATTCTCTGATTCTAATCGCGAGATAATTTCCCTCTGAAATTTCCCCTGAGGACTTGAAAATCAGAATGTCTCAAGAAGCAGTCAATTATGTGATACTTTCACTAGAATTACCATTATATTTGGTAATAATGAAGTCATTTCTGGTTTATTTCTACCCAATGATGTCATTCCTTGCTAAATTTGGATTAGTGACACTAATACCGGTGCTGACCTCACTCCCGGTTTTTCAGTTCATTTTTATTGGATAATGATAATGACATCTCTCAAGGTCTATTTCTACCAAAGATATCATGTCCTGATTAGGTGACCTTGTACTGCTATTGCCGGTGCTGATATCACTTCCGACGATGACGTCACTTCCGGTCACTGGAGGCACTTCAAGGTGCTCCTAATCCATTACACAAGTATGGGAGCTAATTGTTAATGAGTCTAATTAAAGTATTTGCTGAATTCTTATATAGCTGATGACAGATTTACTTAAATAAAATAGTTCAAGGCAATCTATAAAACTATGTAGACATATCTTTTGTCTTATTGAATATTCTGTCAGGGAGATGTGTTCTCTTTACCTTAGGCTAGCATCTATCTAAAAAGCTATAAGTGAAATTACT